TATTAACAAACCATCATGAAAATTGGTAGTCTTGCTGATGCATGACTGATTATGGTTGTGTTGAATGATGTGGTATGCAGCATCTTGTGATTTCAAAATCCAACAAAGAACTATTCTATCTGCTGGGGAGTCTGCAGTAAGGATTATGGTCTCAGCCATGCTGGTGCAAATGTTGTTGCTGTTGTTGAAATCTAGCATCATAATACTTTATCAGATGCAAAGCTACTGCTGGTTATCAGAATTGGGCTGGTTGATGTGGAGGGGGTCCTTGATTATGTAGTGTATCAACTAATTTATGCCATCAGTGAAAGGGTCCCCTGGACCGCCAGCAGGTACCATGCTGCTGTCTAATGCTATGACAGGAGCAGTGTTGAAGCATCATACTCATCTCCTCTGGTATTTGACTTTTTTGTACTACAAGGAATAATGAGGTAGTAGCTTTCTTGGGGTCAATGGAGCAACAATTTCCTTCTTCCTTGATTGTTGTCTATGTAGCAGGAGGCTTCTTTCAACACTATTTGCTTTGGCAGGGCTACTAGCTATGATCAAAATGAATATTCCAAATCCACCACTGCTTTCCACACTGAGAATTATAGTCCTTGCTCACTGTTGCATCTCAGTACCCCAACTAATTGCTTGCATGCTAAGATCAACTAGTACTAAAACTGATCAATGTAAGAATCTAAAATTTGATCAGTGCTGAGATCTTTGAAAACAATCAACAGATCCAATTGACTCACAACAATTGCTGGAAAATTTGATTATGGTTCCCATCAAAACAGCAAGTAGTAACAAATGTACTACTGCTACTAGTGGTAGTACCATTTTACTAATAGTAGGAGCAGTATTGACATATTACTATAATACTATTTGTACACTACCACTACTACAATAGAACAGCCAACAGCAAATCAGATGTGACATTACAAGAACTTCCCTAGTTGTTGTCCCAACTGTGTGAGAACATTGGCAACAATGTTGGCATCAAGTCTGTCTTAACAAAGTCATACCTACCACMAAGTCTCAAAGAAACAATGCAGAAAATACTACTACTACTACTACTATTACCAGGAAGCTTTTACCACCAAAAAGACTGACAAAGAAAAATAAGAGGAAGTAAAGGTTGACCTGCTGTGAAGACCAACAAAAATAAGTTAAAACAATTCAAAAAGACTGATAACAACCTAGTAGTTGCAAGAAAACATTGCCAAAAGTTCCAAAAAGTAATTTGAGGATTAGGATGATCCACCAAGAAGGAGGAGGGGAAATGTACAGCAGGAGTAGTGTTGGAAGTGGCTGATCTCTTCATAGTACGACTGCTGGTAATAGCTGAAGATTTTTGCCAAGATTTTCTTCTACTAGTACTACTAGTAAATCAATCCTAATCATACTACTAGTGCCAGTCAACATAACAAGAAACATGTGCATTTTTGCACAGACAATACCATAGTAGCTGGTATAGTCTGCAACCACATACTATAATCCTCATAGATAGTAGTACATAGTAGTAGAAGATTATCTATCCAACAAAAACATGGGGGGAGATTCTTTCTCTGACACACTCTTTGTTCTCTTGCAAGTCATGTCAACAAGCTTTTATAACTGCACTCTCGTCAGCTAAGCAGCAGGAGCATGTGCACTTTCTTCTTTTCACTTTGTTTACACCATCTTAGTGTTAGTACTACTAGTAGTAATTCCTCTAGTACTTCTACTACTAGTACTGCTGGCACTAGTGCTGTGGTAAAATCAACAAGGAAGTATGGAAGGAATCTCCCAGAAGAGAAGAAAAACAAGGAAGAGAGAGAGAGCCAAGTCAAAGTCATCCAAATCCAAGCACTGTTATTAGTAGTACTAGTACTAGTAGTTTTACTAGTAAGAGAAGAACAATAGCAGAGAAACATTACTATACTGCTGCTGATTTAGTATGCAGAAAAAAGTCTCTGTAATAATAAGAAATATTCAAGAACAACAAGCTTATGGCCATCTGAAGAATTATTTAAAGATTGTCAGAAGTAGCCTCAGTTGCTTGCTCTTACTATTAGTATTACCAAAAAGGATGGAAATGTGATCTAAATCATCTTCAAAAGTAGTGCCCTAGTAGTACTAAATACAAAACAAATATAATGATGATGATGGGATCCACAGAATACTAGTAGTATTACTGTTACTACTAGTGGCACTGCCAGCACTACTAGTACTACTAGTAGTAGAACAACAGCTTTGAAATTTCTTCCAGCATCAAGAAGTCTGGTGTCACAAATAAACATGCCACCACGGCTGCAGCTGACCCCTTCTTCTCCTTACTATGATCATTTTGAATTGGTTTACTCCTAGTAGTACTACTAGTATGATGTAAAAAATAACAATTAAACTTTTGTTAAACATGCCATTGGGAACACCAATTTAACATTCTGAATATTATCATGTATGCCTGTGTAGAAATGAATGAGTAATACTGTAGATTTGCTTAAGATCTCAACTTGATGAGAACAATACACAGTCTGACACCAGTACCAATGATGCAAGCTCATTACACGCCTCAGAAAATGACTTGACCATTTTGGGCAAGTTATTTTCTGATGGATACCATGCAGAAACACATCCAACTTCCCCATGCCTATCCCCAGCAGCATTGTCCCCTCAAAATCACAGAAAAGTTAGAAATTTCCAATTGATTCTCTATTTGGCAATGAATTGGAAAATTTCCAAACTTTTGTCAGCAAGCTGAATGATATGCATCTTCAGGACCAACATCATCATCTTTCGCCTTCGCCCTCTTCTGATACAAGTATTTCAAGTTCATCTTCATCTACTGGCACCACAAAACCTTGTCTAACACAGGTGGTTACTTTTCTCAGTGACAGCAAGGTGCTCATAACTAGACTCCAATCCAGATGTGAATACGCAGAAGTCTATGCCAATGCAACTCTAGCACCAGAATTTGACTTGATTGAACAGATCTTTCAAACCATCCAGTCTCCAACCATCACCTGCTCCTTCTCTTGGGTGAAAGGTCACCMGGATGACAACATTGCTTTTGATCAACTTCCTCTGCCAGCTCAACTGAACATCAAAGCTGACAGTTATGCTGGTGATTTTCAGGCTCAGATGATTACACCAAATTTCATCACACCAGTTTTACCTTCATGTCCAGCGGTGCTTCAGATCCAATCATGCTCTGTCACAAGCCAATATGAGAGAGCTCTCACTGATTCATGTCTGATCCCCCAATATCATGCATACTTGACAGACAGGAACCAATGGTCTCCACGGGTTCTTGCCAATATTGCCTGGAAGTCCCTGAGCATTGCCATAAACTGCATCTCCAGGAATGTCTTGGTCACTAAATGTTGCAACAACATTCTGCCCACTGCCACTGTTCTCAAAAGGTGGAACTACCAAAACCATGATACTTGCTGTCTTTGCCAGATGCCTGAAGATTGTGAGCATCTTTTTTGATGCTCTCATCTATCACGACTTAGATGGCGACGGCAGACCATTACATCTCTACGACAACGGATGTCCACACTTGGCTTCCAGCCAATTGCCATTGACACTCTTGTTACATGTCTCACCGAATGGCTAGACACTGGCAGAGTTTCTCCAGAGAGATATCCTACATCCCTCCATCCCGTTATCCATTTTCAGAGCAAGATTGGGTGGCACCACGTGTTCACCGGTCACATGTCACTCCAGTGGGTTACTGATCTTGATCTTCATTCAAGCTCGTCTTACTCCCCACTCGTGCTGGGGGGCTACCTTGTGGAATTCTTTCTTACCTCCTATATGATATCGTTATGGGAACAGCGAAACAAAGATCTCCATGGCTACACACTTTCCCAGCAACAAGCAAAGCATTGACAGCAGGTGGTGACGAAGGTCCGCACTCTGTTTGAACTGAAATCACAGACATGTCCATCCCACGCTCACCTATTCCCAGAGGATAYGGAAGCCTTCTTATCAACTGCATCTACTTCCATGCTCACATATTATCATCAAGTCTATGAGATGATTCTAGCAAGTGTCAATCAAGCGTCGAGTGCTTTGGTCTCCAACACTTGCCCTATTGCCCAATACTTTACGCCAATGCCTCATAGTAAGCAACCACCGGAGAGCATCACACAAGATTCACTGGTCTTTGACGCCTACTCCAAAAAGAAGTGACACAAACAACCTGTCGTGCCAGATACTTCTTTGGCTCCTCATGTCAATTCTTCCAGTTTACTTCAAACCAAGCTCAGTCAATACTTTTAATTCCAGTGAAACAAACACTAACACTCCTCGGAGGGAAGTGCTGTCCCTCAGAGCAGCTAGAAGCATTCTTTCCACCAAAAGATATGGTTCTGGCCATATAGCGCCTCTTCTAGTAGCTCACGAGGTTAAAAATAATATTAAGATTTTTTTTAACTTTATTTTTTTTAATACTGTAGATTTGCTTGGTGAATTAAGCATTCTTACTACTATTACTAATATTCAACTTAAGAACATCCCAAATGTTAGCAGGCAAGGCACCCTGCTTCTTCCTCTTTTTTAGGTAGTAGTAGAAAACAAGACCACCAAAATTGTGTTTTTTGGTGGATGCTGGTATGCTAACAACAACAACAAATGAAGAATGGGGATTATACTACCTAGTACTACTAGTACTAGAAGGACCTGCTTTGGCTTATGGTGATGTCCTACTGGAAATGTCAATTCTAACATTTGGAGGTGTACTGATACTACTAGTAGTACTACTAGGAATGTCACATGTGTTGGTAAAGAAGAAGTTAGAGAGCAAGAAACTTAGCTGACTTGTTGTTCTTGAAGCGTTGCAGATAACACATCCCTCCTTCCAACTACTCATAGTGCTTTTCACCACTTTCAAAACCAATTGGTGTGGTCACTTTTAGTAGCGGTAACCCCTTTACTATACCTGGTGATACTGCTACTAGTAGGAGCACCAGTTGTTCCTCCTCCTTGTCTTACACAAGCCATCACTCTCTTCAAAGATGGGGCATCCGCAGAGGTAATACTTTTTATGATCCCTTGTACTAGTAGAACGGCGCTCAAATGAGTGACCTACAGAATCTTGTTGAGTAGATCAGACCTACGGTACAATCACCACCATTACTGCTACTTAGTGCTTCTACAACTAAATTACTAAAACAAATTATACTAGTATCGAAGACAGCAAGCTTCCATTCAGTTTCACCTGGCGATTTGGTACGAGTAGTCACGGTGCCTGCTCGATCAATTCCGGCAATCCTCCACCAAACAGACAAGGAAGGAACGGATGAATCGTTCTTCTCTGCCCAGTGCTGTAGCAGCTGGTACCATCGCAAGAGCGCCGGGCTGCGCAATCGACCCCGGCCGGAATGCCACAACCATGCCACGCCGCGGCGTTTGCTGCCATCGGCACGAGCACACACCGCACACACGGATGGCAAGGCGTCGCACGGCCCCGACGGCCGTCGCTTCTCCAAAGGAATGCCCCGGGGACGCCTTCCGCCCGGCTCACCAAATCGCACGGCATTGCACTGCACTGCACTGCACGGCACGGCATTGCACTCTGGCTCCGCACCGCGCCACACCCGGCGGGTTTGCCCCTAGAGCCCCGCGGCCGCGGACGCCAGCACCAGCGCGAGTGCCGCCGCCGCCGTTTTGGCCCCTCGCCCCGCCCCGGAGATGGGAGGCGGGGCGACGGGTGCCATAAAGACCGGCTGCTTGACCGTGTCCGGCGCAAAGGCCACGGGGGCGTCCCCCTCCTTGAAGCTGGGGGCCGAGGTGGGAACAGGCGCCACGGTGGGCACGGTTTCGAACGGGGGCGCCACGGGCGCGACGGTGTCGGCGTCCTTGCTTTCCTCCGCGCCCTCTACCTGGTCGGTGGCGTTTGCCGCCAGGTTGTTGGCGAGGCTCTCCCCGAAGACGGGCTTTTCGCCCTCGTGCGTCACCAATCCTTCTCCTTCGGTCACCTCTGCTTGGGTCACCTCTCCTTGTGCGAGGACCGGGGTGGTGAAAAGGGAKGCCAGCAGGGCCAGAGAAAGGGTGGCGGAGACGAGCTTCATCGTGGCTGGTTGGCTGGCTGTTGGTTTGTTGGTTTGTTGGTTTGTTTTGTGCTAGGGGTCCGCTGTTAGCTGTTACAGGTAATCGTATTTGTGCGTCACACACTTTCGATTCCAATGATCCTAGTATGTGCAGTGCGAGTGCCGACTACGTACGTATCGTACCGTAGCGTATGACACTCGTGGTTGCCGAATGCCGAATGCCATATGCCGAATGGTGAGGAATGGCAAATGCCGAAAATCTAAAATCTGTTACTACCGGTATGAACATACGACACATACGAGACACATCCTTCTCCAGTTCCAAGAAGGGCGCGGTACGAGTACGAGTGCGACTCCGTCCTACCAAGTAAGAGTACGTACTGTATGCTCCTACGGTACGATACTCGCGGTTACGAGTATTGCAGTTCTGAATTCCTCACCGTACCAAGTACGTACCGGTACCATACCGTACGGTCTGCCTTCATGTACGGGTACGAATAATCGTTAGAGATGCGTTAAATCGAAATAACAGCACTGCCGATCTCCATTCTCGCACGCGGGAGAATTCAGTCATAGACTTTGCTTTAAGCCTGAGGCTGCCTTGGAGTTATCCAACAGTGCCGAATCTATACCCGGAATGACCCAGACATGGAGTATACTCACAGTGTCCTTAACTCCTGGTCATTTCGCCATAGCTTTGACAAAGCTCAATGCCCCAAGGGCATAGTCGAGGTGGCTAAGCCCAGGGCTTTGACTACCTCGACTAAGCACTCAAATCCC